CCTTTTCATTTAAACCTGAAGGACTCCCTTTAGCATTCCTTGTAGGACAGGACAGGTCTAGTGGTAATAATTTCCTTTAACTTTTGTTAATTTGGTCAATTTCTTGCTCATTTTTAAAGGACAGTTTTAATTATTGACTGATAGTTTTATTACTTTTAGGGCTTTAGATATGCCATCCTACTTCCTTGGGTTTCCACAGCTTCTTTTCTCTTTTTGTTTTAGATTTTTTTATTTGAGAGAGTGCACACATGAGTGGGAGGGGCAGAGGAAGAGGGAGAGAGAATCTCAAGCAGATTCCATGCTGAGTGCAGAGCCTGAAGCAGGACTTCATCTCATGACCCTGAGATCAGAACCTAAGCCCAAACACAGAGTCCGATGCTTAACTGACTGCACCACACAGGTGTGCTGGGTTTCCACAATTTCTCATGAGAACTTTGTTGTTAATCATATTGAGGAGTCCTGTATGGAACTGGTCACTGAACTTGAACCTATAAATTCATCTTTCAGCAAATTTGATTTCTTTGTAGCCATGTTTTGTTACATGAAAACTTTTATCAGGGGCACTTGGGTAGCTTAGTTGATTAAGTATCTGCCTTTGGCTCAGGTTGTCATCTCAGTGTCCTGGGATGGTTGCTGTTTCTCCCTCTGCCCCTCTCCCCACTTGTGCTCTCTCTCAAATAAATAAAATCTTTACAAGGAATTAAAAAACCGTATTTTTAAAATATACCCTTCTTTCATCTCCCTTCACGTGTGCTCAACTGCCTGATGTTGTATTTCAGATCTATGCTGTTTAATTTGTTCCATGTGTTTTATTTTGGATTGTTACTATTGTTCTGTCTCAAGATCATTGATCTTCTGTATTATCTAATTTGTGGTAAATCCTACCTGATATGCATAGGGATTTTTAATTTTCTGATACTGTATTATCTTTTGTAGTTCCATTAGAATTTTTTTTTAAACTCCCAGTTTCCTCCCTCTTTTGTTCATGTTTCCCTTTATAGCTTTGATATATCAGACATATTTATAAGACTTACAATATTGCTTATAAGGTCCTTGTCTGCTAATTTCATCATCTCTGTCATCTATGAGACATGAGATGGTTTCTGTTCACTCCTTTCTTATTCTGGATCATATTTTTCCACTTTGCTTAGTATAATTTTTAGATGATGAATATTACAAAGTTTACATCGTCAAGTGTTGAATATTGTTGGAATCCTTTAATGATTATAACATTAAATAAGAAGTCTGTCATCACTCTTATTGTTTCTCCTGAATGTAATATGTACCTTTCTTTTGCTGCTTTTAAGACCTGAGCATTATGTTTACTTTTAACATTTTTGACTATGATAGGCCTTTGCATAGCCCTTATATCCCTGCTGCACTATTTATAAAGATACAAAAATTAGTAACACCTCAAGTATCTAAGAGTCTGAGAATGGTTAATTATTCATTGACATAATGGAATGGCATTGAATAAATAAATATGTAGATTATGTTGGTACAAGATAAAGTATATATAAGAAATAATGTTTAGTAAAACTTGGAACAAACTATTATATATAGTGAGGTTTGAAAAATGAAAAATACTTGTATAAGAAACTTTAGTAGAGGGCACCTGGGTGGCTCAGTGGATTAAAGCCTCTACCTTCGGCTCAGGTCATGATCTCAGGGTCCTGGGATCGAGCCCCGCATCAGGCTCTCTGCTCAGCAGGGAGCCTGCTTCCCCCTCTCTCTCTGTCTGCCTCTCTGCCCACTTGTGATCTCTGTCTGTCAAATAAATAAATCAAACCTTTAAAAAAAAAAAGAAACTTTAGTGGAGTTATGTAAGTTGTAAGTAAAACATTTTGAAGTTTTGAAGTAAAAAAAGTTTTGAAGTGAAACATTTCTTCTCTGAAAATCTGTTTTCATAACAATTTTGAGATGTAATTCACATATCACAAAATTCTCCCATGCAAAGTGTACACTTAAAGTATACAATTCTAATGGTTTTTAATATATTCATTAGAGTTGTACAAACATCACAATTAATTTTAGTAAAATGTCATCACTGCAACAAGAAACTCCATACCTTTTAAGCAACCACTTCCCAATTTCTCCAGTGCCACCCACTTTTCAATAATCACTGTTGAACTTTCTCTCTCTATGGTTTTTGCCTCTTCTGGACAGTCTATATAAATGGAATCATATAATATCTGGTGCTTTCTTATTGGCTTTTTTCACTTAGCATAGTGTTTTCAATGTTTATCCATGCTTTAGCAGGTATAGATACTTACTTCTTTTTATCATTAAATAATATCCTATATTATCAGCTTTATATCATAATTAATATTATAATAAATAGCTTTAAATATGAAGACTTTGAGGCTAATTCCCTAAAATGGAGTTAGTAGATCAAAGAAAATGAACTTTAATTTCCTGAAAATGAAAATGAGCATTAAAGAGAAAATCTTTTGACCAGTGCTCTCTCCCAGTCCACTCCTCACTGCTTGGGCCATTATCCTGAGTTTGGTACCTATCCTTCCAATTCATTTTTTAAAAAGTCTGTCCTGTTCCTCTCTCTATTATATATACGTATGTGTATATATATATGTGTATATATATATAAACACCCATTTAAAAAATACTTTTAATTATATGTTATATGGAGGTTAATAATTCCATTGTGACGCTTGCAATAGAAATCCCTACGTGCATTATTAAACAGAACAAAAACTAATTATATCACTTCAGTCCTTTCCATCAATATTCATATCGTATAAATAAACCATAGTGTAATGGGAGATCTGAATCCCAATAATTGGCTCTAATAGCCATCCTAATAATTCATTCCATGCCCTGAAGATAATACCATATTGTATTTCAGGAGGCTATTTTAATTTCAAGGAAGGTAAACAAGATTGATTTCAAGGGGCTTCAGATTCATCGTGGGACCAAAGCACTCAGTTTGATTATAGATTTGATAATTAATTAACTCATTCTTAAACTCTAAAAGCGATACCTAATCACTGTATAATTGGAGTCGATGATTTAATCGGCCATTAAAATAATGGAATTTTGTGAACTAACTCAAATATTTAATTGGCACTGTGCCGATATTTGGTTGAGTATAAGAAAATATTTCTGATCAGTTAGTTTTGGAGGCGGCCTTTGGGCATTACCCGCCAGTCAGGGTGACCGGTCGGGTTTAACAGGTTTCCTGGCTGCCTTACAAAAAAGCCAGGTGGCCATGGTTTGTTGCCCAAATCTCTTGATTTTTTTTTTTTCTGGGAAGAAATGATTTCTCTTTATACAAAACCCCTGGCAGCAGCACATATCATTCATATTTTGTCATAGTTGAATCTGAATTGTCTCACGTTTCCTGGCACTTCTTTGAACTCTGCGGATTAACACATAACCTCAGGTAATCTCTGGGCCAAGGCCTTTTGGTTAATCTCTTGTGGATCTTCATGATGATAGTTGATCTGCAAATCTTAAACTATTTCATGAAAAACTAGGGAAAGGATTGGATAATAAGACTCAATATACTAGTAAACTAATATCAAAATTAGTTTTGAATCTTTAAAATTCTAATTCACTCTAGTTTAAAAAATACTATGCTGCCCTTTCAGATCATTCTGCCTCTAAATCACCCATCCTAAAATATTATATCACTCTTCTAGGAGAAAGCAAAGCTATTATTTTTTTTTAAAGTTTGTTTTGACTTAGAATTTAGTAGGAGTATCAGACAGATACTAGTTACAGCATTTACCTGTATTCCAGTCCCCTCCCCTACCTTTCACAGGGAGACCCACTCTGTAAATGGAGTTGGACATTTGCAAGTGAGTATAGAGTAGAAGCCCTGTGCTGGTGTATAACCACAGTAGGGGTTTGTTAGTGAGAAAAACCAAGATGTGCAATGAGCCTAATTCATTTTGGATGCTTAATGATCAGTGCAAAAGAACTGTGCCTGTTTTAGCCTAAAATTAACATCCACAACCGCTTTTTCCTGACCTGTAATCTTAAAAAAAAACAAACAAACAAACAAACAAAAAAAACACCTACGGTATGTCAAATTCTAGATTTGGTGCTTTGTGTTTTCCTGGAGTGGGTATGGTATTATTCCTATTCTTTAGATGACGTTCAAAGGGGTCAGGAGACTTGACCAAAGACTAACCAGCACCTGGGGCTTGAGGAGAGCCACTTTGAAATCTGACAGGCCTGCCACGCCTTTTCTGGTCAGGGTCTAACCCGGACCGGGTTAACACAGCGCAGAGGGCCCGGAAGTGGGCCAAATGGTGGGCTTCTCTCTTGCCAGATCTGCTGCCAGGCAGCTGTGTGGCCTCGGACATTGGCCAGCAGTGGCAGCCTCCCCAAGGTCAAGGTCCTGACACTGCAGAACAGATGCTCTGCAAGGCCCGGCGATCCGCGTGCTGCAGGACCCCACGTTCTGCCCACCTTCCCAACCCTGCACCGCCGGGGCCCCAGGCACTGTCAACTGACTACCACACGCTCCTTGGCTCAGGAGGCGTCAATTCAGCGGGCCGGCCTGTTCAGTCCCTGCCTGCGTTCAAAGGTGCAAAACGTGGACACTGAGCTTGCCCCGACGGGCATCCGACTTCCCACACCGCCCCGAGTCCACTGGGTGAGAACCGAGTTAAAGCCTCGGTGTTCATGCCCACCACGCCCCGCTCTCCCTTGGTGGCTCGTGAGGGGCGGCCCGCGGCTGCGCTCCAAGTGCGGTCGTCAGGGACGCCGCAGCCCCGAAGCCGACTTTCCTCCCCGATCGCGCGTCGGGGTGCCCCAGGGGTGGGGCGGAGGAGGGGTGCAGGAGTGAGCAGGGCGCACGCCCGCGGGCCCCACGCCCCTGGCCGCCTCGCGCCTCCTGCGGCGCGGGCCTCCGGGGGTGGGGCGGGGGGAGGGCGAGGCGCCGCGGCCGCTGAGGGCGGGGCACGGGCTGCGGCCCCTAGGGCCGCCGCGCCTCCTCCCGCCGCCCCACCTCCTGCCCCGGGCCGCCCGCCCGGCCCTCCCCCGGCCGCCGCGCCGCCCGCAGGTGCAGCCGCGGCGGCCGCCGAGTAGGTGCGTGGGGATGATCTCACTCGCGCGCTCCGCGCCAGGAGGAGGAGGAGCGGGAGCAGACCCAACTTCCGGGTAGTGCCGCCGCACGCCACCGGCATCTTGCTGTTCCTCCCCCTCCCCCCCGCGGCACCCCTCGCGTCTCCCTCCTTTCCTTTATTCCCGGCCCCACCTGCCAAAATGAACAGCTCGGACGAGGAGAAGCAGCTGCAGCTCATCACCACTCTGAAGGAGCAAGGTAGGCGGGCGCGCGGCCGCCAGGTGCGGGCCGCCGCGGCCCGTGGGCGGGGTCGGCTCCCGGGCGCTGGGTTTGGGCTGCGGCGGGCGGGGCGTGGGGCTGTCGCGGCCGCCGGGCTCACCCCGCAGCCCTGTTCCGCGTGCGGCAGCGTCCTCCGCGCCCCGCGCGCCTCGGGGAGCCAGGGGCCGAGGGCAAAGTGCGGGGGTCAGGGGTGTGGGGCCCGGCAGTGCGGGAAGCGCTCCCCGCACGTTGCGGGCGCTGGCGATCCTGGTTGGGGGAAGGAGCCGGGATTGGGGGCGGACGAGAGCCCGGGGCACCCCCTCCCACGCGGGAGAAGCGTGGTGGGGGCCAGATGGGTCGGGAGGAGGCGGTTCGGGCTGCTCCGCTGGCCCTGCTCCCCAGCCGTCGCCCCACCCCTGCCCAGGCCTGCCGCGCCGCTCCGCAGCCTTTCCCTGCTTTCCAGGCGGCCTCGGTCTAGTTCCTCTTTCCCTCCCTGGCCACGATTCCGGGGCCCTGATGTGTTTCACCGCTTTCCATTTTTAACTGTGAGTCACTGAGCCAACACCCTCTCAGTGTTGGGCCTCCTCAGTGACGATTTGGCTCTGGCCGCAGGAGAGCCAGGCCGTGTCCTTGCATTTCCACGTCGCCAGGTAACGGGAGTTGACCTCCTCCTCCAGAGCTGTTCTGATCAATCATTTCCATCTCCTCCTGCATCTCTCCACAAAGGCAGATTAGCGATCAAATGTGAGTGCGACGCTCTCTCCGTTGAAAATGACTATTATTACCCTGGCCAAGGGTGGCCTGAGACTATGGGTTAAGACAGAGAGGAACTGCACAGATTTAGGAAGTGAAAATGGGGAGGAACCTGGGCTTTTCTGAGTCACTTGGTGACACGGCCACAGAGTGGAAGGGTCCTGCTGTGCTCTTGCTCTTTCGCTTCTGTTGACTCAACTTACCAACTCTGTGAACTTGGAAGAGGCTCTTCCCTTCCATGGGTCTTGTGGTTATCACGCCTTACCGGATTGAAGACGTGGGCTAAACCAGAGGGTTTCATTAGGTCCGGCCACGTGGTATGACCTGTTGCTGGGGGAAACATACCATTTGCAGGGCTGTGTGGACTTCTCTGGAGTTTACATTCCTGGAAACACATCAAAGCAGATTGTTTACCAGTCCTCTTATCTTGTGGAAATTATTACCTCCCTGAGATGGACAGAGCACATGTCTTTGTGGTATCTAGCATTTAGAAAGTGTTGCATAAATGTTAATAGCTTTTGCCTTCCCAGTACCTTGGCTCCCATCCTAGACTAGCCATAGGTCATAAAGTCACAAGCAGCAGTGAATCTAGTGGGAGGGCAGAATGTCCTTATCTGACATTCCTCGAGTGGTTTACTCAGGGGCTAGATTCTGTCAGCATTTTATTTCTAATAGCCCTCTTCCCCTCAATAACATAAAGATTCTTCATATTCTAGACAGTGGAAGCGTTCATCATTGATAATATTTTTCAGTGGATACCAGAGCTTTTGATGGATGGTCAGTTTTCAAATAATATCGTTAAAAACTTCACTTCTTTTCATTCTGAATATAATAATGTCAATGGTAGATTCCCGATGGCAGGTAATCCACAAGTTGTTTATATTTCATTTTGGAATTCATTCTCTCTGTCTCTATGTTGGATTTGAGAACTGAGAAGAAAGGAGGAGTCTTAAGTTTTTGGGTTCTTTCTTATTTATTGGAAAACAAAGCCAGGGTATTGGTATTTTTAGAGGATGTTATTTCCTTAATTATGGGCATATCAAAGACAATAGAACAGTTAGACTTTGAAATTTGTGTTTCGTAAAAGGTGCACTTTTTTTTTTTTTTTTTTTTTTTTTTTAGTATTGAGTCTGGTTACACAAGTGTTGGCATTTTTTTCAGCCCATCTCAAAACCAGGGCATTTATTTGTCATTGGATCATAGACTGATAACAATGGACTTATTTCGAGAGCATTTGATTGCTGTTTGACTCATGGAACTAACCCAGAAGCTAGGGATTTGAGATGGAAAGACAGGCAACTAGGTGTTTGGGCTCTTACCAATATGATAATTAATTTTGTAAGCTGATGGTGTGTATGATTTATTTTTGAAAATAGACTTTTTTTTTTTTAACTACCTGTAAACATTGTGAATAATTCCATCACTCCTGTTAAGTGAGGACAAGAACCAATATTGATGAACACTCTATTTTTTCTTTTTCAACACTGGCTAAACATACTCATTCATTCCTTTAACAAATACTTAACTACCAGACATCTATCATATATGAGCCCCATGTGGTAGGCGCTGGGGGTAGAGAGAATGAACCAGACAGTCTTTGCTTCCCCCCAAGTTTATTGTCTAGTAGGCAGTCACACAAATGTTTACAATTACCAATTGTTTTTTTAGGATAGATTCTTAGAAAGGGAATTCTTAGGTCAGAGGGCAAGCAGACATAAAGCTTTGCTGGGCATCACCAAAGTGCCCCCAAAATGGCTGTATCACTTCACATTCCTCCCAGAAGTGCCCATGTCCCCCCATACTTGTCAATGGTGACCAATAGCATTCTTTACTAATTTTGGCAGTCTGACAAGTTTCTTAATTTTTGCCAGTCTGATGAACAAAAATAGTACCTTTCGAAAAATTGTATTACCTGGTTCTCAGTGAGGTTTGAAATCTTTCTACGTGTTTATTGGCCGTGTTGGTTTCCTCATCTCATTTCTTCCTTAGTGAATTTTAAGTCAGAAATTGGAACCCATTCCCCAGGAGGGTGTTCAGAAAGAAGATTCCTATCTACTCTAAATGGCAGAGCTGACAGCAGCCTTCCCTAATGTGAAGGCTTCAGTGGTGTGGTGAATAAGGTTGCTTTTGACAAAAGTTGTGAAATGTAATGACGGAGTCTGTCATAATATGAACAATCTCTAATTTATACTTACCATTCCCTAAGCTCTGTGTCTTATAAATCACACCCACTCTTGAATTACTTCAAAACATTGTATGTTCCCGTCTCGTGAATGGTATAATTAGCTATATTATGTCTTTCTAGAAAGTTATATTATGTCCCTTTAAAAAAATTAGCCAGTACGTGATTGCTTATGTTCAAGCAGATGTTGAGGTAATGAGGTAATTCTCTTTTTGTCCTTTTTGGAGCTTTATTTTATTGGACTGATTGACATCTTTAACACACTGACAAATGGCAACTTGGGGTACTATTTCCGATGCATATTTCCTAGCTCCTAAAGTGGACATTTCCCTTACAAAACATCATACAATTTGCTCCCCCTCCAGAAGGCTGCTGGGAAATGACCGACTTAGCTCAGCGTTTGTTGAAGGTACCTGATTTTCTTTGTAATGTATTCATCGCAGACGCCCTCAATATTCACAGCCAGGCACTGTGCTAGGCATCCGTGATAGAGCGATGAATAAAGCCTTGTCCCTGCTGGTGAGGAATTCCTAGTCTAGAGATGGTGATAGGCATGCAAATTCCAGGAAGGGTGTCTAGGTGGCCTTGTTTGGGTCATGGGTTTAAGTCCTTTGGACCAGGAAGGGCAGGGCACCTTGATTGGCTGCCCCTGCAAAGACCAGTGGATTGGAGTAGTTATCCAAACAAGTATGGCAGGCCACTACCAGAAGGGGGGATGCAGGCTGGGCAGATGCAGACAACAGCTGTCCACCGAACTGGTCAGCGTGGTCATGCCATGGCATTTGGAACTTGGTGAAGAAGTTTTGAAGGCAACGATTGCCACCCAGCAGTGAGGATGCGATCACGGAAGACCAAAGCTCCAACCGCCACACTGCAAATACCGTCCTAGGGTGACAGAATGGGTTTTGAAGCAAGGTAGCCTCCTTTGATCTGTACTTTCCCCAAGACTGTAGCGATAGTGCTCAAGGTTCAGATGGAAATTTAGCCCAGTTTATTCTTAGAGCGGAATTAGTAATTACAGAGGCTCCCAGTGTTCCTCGATTGCAAGGCCAGAAAGTAGCTTGAGCGTTATTTTGGCAAAAGGGGTCAAACGCTTGCCTACCACCGTGACCATATCAGTCAGGAGCAGCCGAAGCACCGTCAGTCTCCGACACACACGAAGTCAGTCAGTAGAAAGCGGTTTGGGATTAAATTGTTGCCATGGTGTCAGGTGCCAACTTGGCTTTAACATTGTTATTTTCCCAAGTGCGGTTCGTGGCCACCGGTCTCCGAATAACTGGGGTCCATATGCACTTTCTTACCTGTTATTTATAGAAAGGAGCCTGGCAAATTTATTTTTCTCTCTCTGGGTCTGTTTTTGTAAAATCGATGCTTTGAAGTGTTTTGCTTTTACAACAGAATACCACATAGGTTGAGAAAAGTACACAAACTATGAATGAACAACTCAAGGAATTACTGAAAAAGATGTTTTTAACAACACTTACAGTAGAACATCTCCAGAAACCCCATCATAAGCTCTCTAATCATGATCACCTGCCTTTCCCCGATGATATTTTTGTCACCCAAGGTAAGTTTTCTGAAAGCTGCGTGATCGGAATCATGCAGGATGCAGTATTTGCTTCTGTCTTCTCTCCCTCGTCACGTGTGACATTGAACCGCAGGGTGCGCTGTCGTCGGAGCTCATTCGCTTGCATTGCTGAGTAGTAGTCTGCTCTGGGAATACACCAAAAAAAGTTTTTAAGTGAAGATGCTGCAGAGTAGAGGTCAGCAGACTTTTTCCATAAATGGCCAGATGGTATGTTAGGCTTTGTGGGACACCTGGTGTTTGTTGTAAACCAACACCCTGATTAAAAATGCAATTTCCTCCTAAAGTTTGTGAGCTCCTCCCCAAGAGACACAGGCCGGGCAGCCCTCCGCGAGATGGACCCTGAGCCCGGGTTGAGGAACTACATCGTGTCATCAGAATTCCCCGATTCATGTAACGCTTCCAACGGGTAGACAGATCTTTTGTGGTTTTTTAAAAATTGAATTTAAAAGTAAACATAATGCTCATAGGAAGATGAAT